CCCTGTATGAAAGTAGGTCCTAAATGAATGACTGACTTCACTGCATTAGACCCCATGATTGGTCTCACCCAACACTTTGTGCCCAGCTGTCACTCACTCTCAGCCACTTCCTTGCAACAGCAGGGCTGAGAGGAGGGAACTATGTCTATGTAGGTGTTCACAGGGCAGGGAAAAATCTTACACTGCTCTATCGTGAACTGACACCAGTCCCCAGCAACCACCTTCTCCCCGCCTTCTCTGTCCAACACCTACATCTATCCGTCATGCTGATACTTGAGCTGCTGCTGGGAGGCCTGGGCTGGTTTTTTCTTAAATATATTGTATAATACAGTACAAGCAAATCTACCCTCCAAGGCCCTGGTTCCACTGATTGAAAACTCTTTCTCTTATATGGACTTGAGTTTAAGCCCAGTAGGAAAGAGGAATGGGGAGCAGAAAGAGAGTAGCATCCTTCTTCCAGGCCCTTGGCTGCTCCTTTGTGTGGGGCCAAGGTTTGCATGGCTCAGGTGCCCTTAGGTCCCTTTTTGGGTTGAACCACTACCTGACATTAAAAGAACAATTTAGAGAGGGTTTTTTTTTTAAGAAAATTTGATTCATTTATTTTTATTTTCGTTTTTAAGATTTCTCTGACTATGGTGTAGAGACTGGACCAGGGAGGAAAGGGGTACATAGAGGGAGCCAGAAGGGAAGAACTTTTAGTGAATTTAGAAAGGAATTTGAATTTGGATGTGGAGCTTAGATGGTGTTCTTGGATTATAAGAAAAGAGACAACACTTACTGAGGAACTGTTATGCTTATTTTTGTATACATAATTTTATTTATTTATTACTACATCCAGTGGAGTAGTTACTTAGCCCATTTTTCTTACATGAAAACTCAGAGATAAATCAAATTTCCAAATTTCCAGCAGAAGTAAATGGCAAATCCAAGATTCAAAGCCTGGTCTAGGGGGAGGATATAGCTCAGTGGCAGAGCACATACTTAGCATGCATAAGGTCCTGGGTTCAATCCCCAGTACCTCCATTAAAATAAATAAATAAACTTAATTACTCGCCCCCACCAGAGAAACCAAAAAATCCCCACAAACAAATAAAAATAAGTAAATAAACAAAGCCTGGTCTATGTAATCAGTTTTTTCAATTCTACTATGGTATTCCCAGGTCAGAATTAACAAATAACATACCTTTAAATTTTAATTCTAAAGAATAAACTGATATTCTATAATATAAAATACATAATTTATTTAACTGTATTGATTGACATTAGCTCATTTCTGTACTTTTGCTCCTATAACTAGAACTGTGATAAACATTTTATATATAATTTTATCTCATTTCTGATTACTTAACTGAATTCTTAGATTCCTAGCAGTGTCAGAGAATAGGGTATTTTTTAAACTCTGGACATGTAATATTAATTTATTTTCTGGAAGGGTTGTGCAGTTTATACTCCCACTTTACCCAAACTGACATTTAATATTATATTTTCACCTTTGCCAATTTGATAACCAAATTTTTAATTCCATTGTTTAATTCACATTTCCATTACTTACTAAAGAGGTTGAACAGTTTTTTACATCTTTTTTAGCCTTTTTATTTTTCTTTTGTGAATTTTATGTTCATTTGATTGCTCATTTTTAAATATGGTGTTAGTATTTCTTTCTTGATGATTTGCAAGAGCTCTTTCTATAGGAAGGATACTAAGATTTTGTCACTTTTGGCAAATAACTTCCCAGCGTGTCCTTTACATTCAGTTTTTAAATTTTTATTGTAGAAATATCACAAATAAAGAGGGGCATGCTCCAGTTATCTGATGCTGCATAATAAGCCACATCAAAATGCAGTGGCTTAAAATAGCATACATTTTATTTTATCTCACAGTTTTACCAGTCTCAGCCAGGAGATTTTTATCTCTTGTGGCTTATTCACCTTGTAGATTGGCTCACCTGTAGAGTCTCAGATGGCCTTACTCACATGTTTAGTGCCCTGGAAGGGACAGAAGGAAGGCCAAGCTCTGCTGGTATTGCCAACTGGAGCATATAAACGTGGCTGCTCTTGCACGGTGGCCTCAGGCTGGTCAGATACCAAACTGGAGGCTCTGGACTCTAAATGACAGTATTCCAGAAACAAGGCAGCAGCTTCATGGCCTTTTATGACCCAGCCTCAGAAGTTACATAGTGTCACCTCCACTGTGCTCTTTGGGTCAAAGCTGTCACAAGCCCTTCCAGACTCAAAAGGAGGGAACACAGAGGAGGGTCAAAGAATTTGTGGCCATGTTTTCAAACTTTCAGAGGGTATAAAACATTTTAAGGAATAAACAAATTCCACTTCACTTTTTAATTTTGTCAATAACATTTTTAATAAGCAACTAGTTATTCAGTGCATTAACTTATCTCCTTTTTCTTCTTTGTGATTTCTTCCATTGCTTTGTAATTCATTTTTTAAAATTATTTTCAAAGTGTGTGTCTACAGAATCAAGGCAATAATCAGTTACTATATTTGCAGAAATGACTTTATGGTCTTTAGGCACTTTAAGTACTATGTATTGGGGCTGCATTCATTTAATTTAACTCTTAATCCTTTCATCCTTAAACTTCCATCAGTGATACACTGGAAAATTCATCTAAAAATTCAGGTTGACCATACATTTAACTATGCAGTTGCTGTGTGGAGGTGGAAAAAAAAAGAAGTGTGACTAGTTCTTGCTTAGAACTTTGCCACAGTTCTGGTTCACTCTTCCAAAGAGAACTGAAATACAATAAGCTACATTTGGCCTGTGTGGCGAGCGAGTGGTACCCATCAGTTGTTGCAATGATGCTCAAATATTGAATAATTTGATTAATTTCATAAATCTGATTTTAGCACTCTTTCTTCAGATGTTCTGAATGGCAAAGCAAAAAAGGTATCCTCCCATTTAATTAGTAATTATTGTAAAGGATGTTCTTCTGGCTAATACAGAAGAAAGAACTCCTTGTAAGCATACATTATAAAAACTTAATAAATTCTAAATGCTGATGGTCATCTCATGTTCTAAAAAGTTACACTGATGTCTTCAAGTTATTTTCTCTGCTTCCAATAGCATTTCAAAAACTAGTGTTGTCATCTGAGTATGGAACTGTGAAAGCTATATAGGGAGAAGCAAATGAATAAATGTATAACACACAGATAGCATGATCTTCAGTGTTTCTACTTATCCTGTGTATCTTTCTCCTATTTTATTTTCACCATGTCCAGAAAAAAAGTGAATTTTGGAAGAAGAACACATTGGAAAAAATCCTATTCCCTAATGCAGTTAATCACCATGGCGGCAAGAGCCGTAACTAATTTTTTTTCAACGTTTTATTTCCAACACTAAGCACTTTGCCTCACACATAGTTGTCAATGAATACTTATAAAAGAATGATTTGAGGAGAGGCACAAAAGTATTCACCAGTCTGTTCCTGTGATCTAGTCTCATCTGGAGACTTTCTTCTTCATGAAGGCCACTGTGTTCGTGGAGTATCTCCACCATATCTGTCTCTGATAACTGTTGGTCACACCACACAAGCCATGGACTGGAAAAGATGGCCCCTTGAGTCCGTTTACTATCGTTGAAATTTATAAAGAGAGATCATTTGGGATCCTACAGCTTTCCAGAGACAAAGGGTCTCAAATCACTTACGGTTAACCCAAACTTTACATCTGAATATCCACAAGTCGAGCCCAAGTTCAACTGGATCCACCCTTCAGGCCCAAGTCCACATGTCAGAGCCTGGGCCTTGTGCTCTGGGGACACTTGTGAACATTTCAGCAGCTAGGACCAGCCAAGTACTTCTTCATTTCTTGTTGAACACAGAATACAGATAAACCCTAAAAATATGCTCTTCAATACAGTAGGCATTACCCACAAGTGAATAAATCCAAATTAAAGTTAAAGAAAACTAAAAATTCAGCTCCTCAGTTGGACCAGTCACATTTCAAGTGCTCCACAGCCATATGTGGCTAGTGGTGACCACACTGAACAGAGCAAACAGGAAACATTTCCTTTACCACAGAAAGTCTTACTGAATAGCACTGCTCTAGAATATATCACCTACATCACATTGCAGAAGTTACCAGTTAGAGACCCAATTCTGCACTTGTTTCCTATTCAACCAATCCTGGCTTTCAAATTTTTTTATTTTTCTAAATGTCTAAAGTTTCCCTGTTTAAATCTGTTTTGAACAACAAATACAAATATTTCCTAAACAAATCTCTCTGAAATATACCAAACCAAAATTAGAGAGTATCTATTATGCAAAACGCAGAGTTAGATATCTGAAAATTAGTTTAAGTGGGACGATGTCCCATGTGATTTGTAAAAAGTCTAAATTACAGGTGATTAATAAAATGTATTTAACTAATTAAATTGCGCCAAAAGCACAAACGAAAACCTAAAAGTGTTGCCAAGTTAAAGCTCTACGAGATCTGATTTGATAAATAACAGAGAATAATTTCTAACTGGAATACTGTTTTATGCAAATTGGATGGAAATATGTTGTTGGAAGAGTTCAATTTTCTTAAAGAAACGTAGCTTTTCTCCCTGAGGTATTAACTTTTTCATAAATTTACTTCCTCTATAGCAAATGTCCAAATCCTTTCTAAATTATCTGATATCTCTATTAATGGAAATTAAATTAATGGGAACCTAGCACATCATCTAACTATGGAAAGCAATAAATATATACAATAAAAAGTTTATTTGGACACAATGTATACTATATGTATAAAAATAAAGAGGTGCATACTTGTATACATAAAAACAGAACAAATTATTCTCTCCTAATCAGCAAAGATCGCTAATATCTACTAAAAGTGCACTTACATTTTAGTAAATAATAGCATTTTTTAATTAAAGTGTGTATGTATGCATTACTATTATGTAATTTTCTCCTATGATTCCAAAACAATACACTTTGATAGTAATTCAGCTTCTTGCCGTCTTTCCAATTGAGTAAAAGTATTCTCTTCTTTCTACCTCAGAAGCTGTTCTGGAAAGGGAGCAGCGTCTGGTGAAGAGACAGAAACCGGCCCCAGGCGTGCCACCGGAAGGCACAAGCAAGGACACCGGTCCTCGAGTCGGCAGGCGGGCCAAGTCTAAATGTAAGTGCGAGGAGCGATGGAGCGCGGCGCGGCGGCCTGGCGGCCGGTCATCCCCAGGCGCAGCGGTGGGGGCGGGGGTGGAAGTCGCAGTCGCTGTCGCTGTCGCTGTCGCTGTCGCTGTCCGGGAGCACACGAGGGTATCGGGGCAGGCTGCGGGTCCGTCCTGTCTCCCAACCTCATCTCCACCTCTGCAAAAGCCTGGAGACCATCGTTACTAATGCCAGGTTTTTAAATCCCCGAGAGTAAAATACATGTGCAGAGTGTGATCCTAACTGATTTTTAAGCCCAGGCATGTTGAATAGAGTCTTAAAATAATCATTTCCATTGGACCTGACTAGGTATCCAAGTGTTCACCAGATGCTAGCGGCTAGATTTTGCAGAGGAAAATTGCTAACTTAAGCTTCTTTTCATGATTCAGCAGAGGGTTTTTAAGTAATAAAAGATCTGGAGATTTGTAACATAAATAATTCCAGTGCAAATGGGAAAATTAAAATAATCTTATCATCTCCCAGTCATGTCTATATGTGCTTTTCTACCATTATCAAATTTCTCTTAATTGGTCAATTTTTTTTTCTGGCTGATATTTTATAGTTTTAAGTTATGAGTTGTAATGAAGAAATGATTCCTTTCAGATGAGTAAAGTGACATGTACTAAATTCTAAAGACAATCTAGGATGTATGAAACAGAGCATGATCTAACAAATGTGGTTTTATTCACATGCAATATAGTCTGTATCACCAGTGAAAAATAGTAGCAGCATGCCAGAATCTCTTATTCCTTAATAGATCTCCCAGTAGAAACAATTAAAATATAAAGTACATCATTAACTTTTGAACTTTGATGGGAAAAAAATACCATCCATTTCTGACAAGTAGACATTATCTCATAGTATCCACAGCCATTTTATGCTTATTACCATTGCTTGGTCTTAAGTGTGACTTTTGGACATACAACTCAATGTTTCCTAATATTTAATAGTACAATGGTTTTTATAGTCTATTTAATTTTATTTAGTAATTTAAAGAATGAATAGTTAAGATTCCCCAGATATTTGTGTTCTTGCTGGAGGTGCACTTGAACAAAAAGAAAAACACATCATCTAGCCCTACAGCTAATACCACATGACCACATCCTGCCTAGAATGAATCCATTCAGAGTTTCTGGAAAAGCACAGATACAGTAATGATTTTCCTAAGGTATCAGATTTTTGCTGTGGGTACCACTAATTATTTTGGCTGCATTCCATCAAGGCCAGATGTTAAACAAATAAAATATTTAGAATACAAAACTATTGAATAAAAAATACATGCTCATTTAAGCAATAGTTTCTAGAAATCAAGCCAATCACACATTCTGGAGAAGCTGAAGAAGGAGGCATGACGTGGGTTCTATTCGTAATGTCAGGTTAAGGTTCTGAACTCAATCCAGAGAAACTTTATAATTGTTGCAACTAACTGGAGCTCAGCTGCTTCTGGATTTCTTGTAACAAAATCTTGCTGCCAAGGGCATTGGGCTCAGCCAGTAAAAAAATTACAGTAATAATGTTAAACTAAATCATAAAAATGCAGAAGGTGGTTATTATGGGGCAGAGGAGAGGAATTGCTTGTAAAGTTATGGTGGAAATATCAAAAATAATATTTTATTAAACTTTAAAAAATTAAGCTTTATTTTTAAACTAGGGTGCAAAAGCAATAAAATGTAAAGGTTATTCAATAAACGATTTCATTCAGTGGTCAAAAGCAATGATTCAGCAAGTGAGAATAAAAATTACATTTATTCAACATGGTCATCAATTCAGGCAGGACTGAAGCTTATATTATGATCATTTTCTAGTAAAAATAACCAGCTGAAAGTCACTTTTTTTTTGAAAGTCACCTTTAAGAAGGAATTTCGACTGAAAAAGAAATAAAGAACTTCTTGAAGGCATATCTTCTCAGTGAAAATGAACTTGGCTTATGCTTAATTTCACATACTATAACACTCTAAATATTTTATGTGATTTTTAAGTTCTAGGAAGAAATTAATTTGAAACAAATGTAGAAAATGACTCAAAAAGTTTAAATATGAAAACTATGATAGGCTTACAGTTAGGGAAATAGATCATAATAACTATCTTCTATGAGCCTTCCAAGAGTAAAGAATATAGCTTTTTAAATTATTTTTTGAATAATCTGGAATTTCTTTCCTATCAGCTTTATACCTTCTGTAAATATAGATTCCAGAATCATGTATCATAGACAGTTTGGGAGATTCTATATTTTCCTCAAGTTGGATAACATATTTCTAAGTGACAATCATCAGAGAAACAAACTCCTTTTGCTCACTAAAGTACCTAATGTGTTTTACACTGGGTAAGCACTAAATAATATGGTGAATAGAACTGAATTATTTCCATGTTCTCTTCAGAGATTAATGTGTCTCTTGGATTCACACTAGAGAGGTAGTGTCTCACCCATGGGGATTAATGAGCTACATCTGTAACCAAAACTACTCATGGAAAACTTGCTGAATTGATCCATATCTGTTTTATTAATCAAGCCCAGTACGGAAGGGCTTTCTTGTGGTTGTATTATATTTTGGAGATAAATAGAGTGAGGAAACCACAGTTCAATTTTGAAGTTGTTTGAGATATTGAAGAACGTGGGATTCTGTATTAGATGACAGCAGTAAAGTCCAGTCCTTGATGCTTGTAATGCTGATATATAAGTATATAAATATCCTGTATGTATAATTTTACTGCAGACCTTATGACAGTAGCCAACAAGACCCTAACCATTTAATATGGTTTAATATGGAATTTACTTCTTACTGCTGCTCTCTTCGACTCTCTTCCTTCCTCATTTTTAAAAATGAAAACGTTTCAGGTTGGTTTTTTTGTTTTTTTCCTCCAAGCTAGCTTGGTATGAACAACCTTTAGTTGAAGCAGATGGCTAGAAGTCAGAATCCCCAGATTCTATCCTTGATTTTCCTACCAACTGGGAATGTGGCCTTGGGCAAGTCATGAGAGTAAATCTACAATAAAAGGGATAATAATGCATTACATATGTATGGTGCTTTATGATCTTGCACAGTACTTTCACATACAATATATTATTTAATCTTCCTCTCAGCCTCCTAAGAGGAGTATGGCTGTTATTAACAACCCCTATTATAGAGAGTGAGAATTTGAGACCCAGAGACACTAAAGTGAGTTCACAGTCTTGTCAATATCAAATGTCAGGGCCAGGAACAGACAGAAAAGATGATTCCAAGTTGGTCTTTGTCTTCTTTCCTCTATACCATGCTTGCTGTGGTGCTGCCAAAGCTGGGCTGTCTAATATGGTCTCCAGGAGCCACATGAGGTGATGGAGCCCTTGAAATGTGGCTAGTTCCAACTGAGATGTACTGTGGGTGTAAAATACACATGGGATTTCTAAGACCTTGAATGAAACCAAGAATGTAAATTTTTTCATTAATACTTTCTACATTGATTCCATATCAAAATGATAATATTTGGGTTATTTTGAGTCAAATAAAGTATATTTTTAAAATTAATGTCACCTGTTCCTTTTAACTTTTTTTAGTGTGAGTACTAGAAAATGTGAAGTTGTGTACATGGTTCACATTGTTTCTATTGGACTGAGCTGGACTAGAGGATTCTCTGGTTCAGAGACCACTGTACATATTTCACAGTAGTGAACTTGTTTATACACCTGTCTTGATGCGGCTGAGACCAATTTCCAAAGGCTCTGTCAAATAGAGCAGTAGAGATTAGCGGCAATAATTCAATCATTCTCACCCATCTTCCACTTGCAGGGAAAAAGTCAGACTTTGTTAGCTGATGCCTTAAATTGCTCATTTATTAAAAGGGCTCATTTTATACTTGCTGAATGCTTAAAAAGCTTAGAGTGAAAGTACTATGGAAAGAACTATAAATTATATTTATGACCCTATTGCACACTTTATTTTAAAATATATTTCCATTAAACATTTTGAGTGAATGAGACATTGGACTATTAGGTGATATAGCCAATGTAAAATAATAAGTATATGTAAATTTTTTATAAAATATAGTATATTTTATTCCCCCTACCAACTCTCTAAGATATATTATGTATAACCCCTAAAGAAGTAGCTTATTTCTGTTTTGAAAAACCTAAATGAAAGTCCTCAGGAAAAAATGGGTTCTTATTTAGGAGAAAAAGTAACTATAGTTAAAAAAAATAGCCCAAATTATTGAAAACTAACATCCATTTGGCATTTATTATGTAGTCTCAAGCACTATACTAAGAGTTACCAAGATTATCTCATTTAGGGATTTGAAAATGAGCAACATAAAGCAGAATCAAAGTTCTTAACCATTACTGCCTCTCACTACAATCCTATTTGAAGTCACAATGCAAGCTATCAAGACAGTATGAGGATATGAGGGAATACTGGACAGAAAGATCAGAAGTCTGCCCTCAAAGTATACACAAAGTGCTGGATTTGTGGACATGTTTTTGAAAAATACATACTTATGAACAAAATTATGTGAAAGAGGAGTTACTCTTGTCTTTCTAAAGGTTTCTTTATGTTACGATAGAAATCTTTATAGCCGTGTTCCCCAGTGAGTTAAAACTTACCTATTGTTTATAAAGCAAAGGTCTCATGCAAAAAAAACAAAAAAAAACAAAAAAGAACAAAAAAAACTATGTAGTATGAATTCTAGAGATTTGTTTATACCCACTTGGATAAAAGTAGGCTGACGTTACCTTAAATATTTTCTGGAAAAAGAAGGGATGAAAACAAATAAATAAAATGGGGACCTAAATTAAAATCATAAAATAGTAAAAACTAAAGAGTTTTATAACTTTTTATACAATAATAATAATATGTTACCTTTGAAGGTTGACATTAAGAATTGTGTATATAAGCTAATGACATACTAATTTTTTAAAGATGTCAAAATATAATATATAACTTGTTTTCAATATCTTAATGTTTATGCTTACCTGGAATGAAGTAATAGGAAAAACAT